AGAATTGGTCAGCACCGAAGACACCCACAAAAATCCGTCAATCCTTGGGTCTCGCTGACTATTATCGCATATTTATCCAGAACTTCTCTAGGATTGCTAATCCCTTAACCACCCTAACTCAGAAAGGTGTAACCTTTAGTTGGGGAGAAAAGCAAGACACTGCGTTCCAAAAATTGAAGCAGGCCTTATGCAGCGCACCTGTCTTATCCCTGCCAGAAGGGACGGAGGACTTCGTTGTCTACTGCGATACATCTAATCAGGGCCTAGGCTGTGTGCTCATGCAACGAGGAAAGGTTATTGCCTATGACTCGAGACAGCTGAAAGCACACGAAGTCAATTATACAACTCACGATCTGGAGTTGGGAGCAATGGTCTTCGCATTAAAAATTTGGAGACATTATCTTTACGGAACCAAGTGTACTGTCTTCACCGACCATAAGAGCCTACACCATATCTTCGATCAGAAAGAGTTGAACATGAGGAAACGACGATGGGTATAGCTACTCAGTGATTATGAGTGCGAAATACGCTATCATCCCGGCAAGGCCAATGTGGTAGCAGATGCTCTCAGCCGGGAATAGTATTCAAGTCGTAAAGTGAAGACACTGACAATGAGCATCCATTCCCATCTGTCCGATCAAATCAGAGAGGCTCAGCTGGAAGCCTTAAAACCAGAAAACATGTCAGATGAAGCCTTGAGGGGAATGGAAAAGAACTTGGAGATTAAAGGAGATGGAGTCTACTATTTCGTGAACCGGATCTGGACCCCAAAGTTTGGCGGGTACAGGGAGGTTGTCATGAACGAAGCTCACAATACTAGATACTCCATTCATCTAGGTTCGGATAAGATGTATCTGGATCTAAAAAAGCTTTATTGGTGGCCAAACATGAAAGCAGAGATCGCTACCTTCATGGGCAAGTGCCTGACTTGTGCCAAGGTGAAGGTGGAATATCAAAAACCCTCAGGTCTACTTCAGCAGCCAGCAATACCTGAATGGAAGTGGGAAAGGATTGCGATGGATTTTATCACTAAGTTGCCCAAATATCCGAGTGGGCACGATACCATCTGGGTAGTTGTTGATCAGTTGACTAAATCCTCCCACTTCCTTCCAATCAAAGAAACCTTCAAGATGGAGAGACTGACACGAATCTACATTCAAGAGATAGTCCGCCTGCATGGTGTGCCTGTGTCCATTATCTCCGATCGGGATAGCAGATTTACCTCGAGATTTTGATAGTCACTGCAGAAGGCTCTTGGAACTAAGATGGATATGAGCACATCTTACCATCCATGGACCGATGGGCAGAGTGAGAGGACCATTCAGACATTGGAAGTCATGTTGAGAGCATGTGTCATAGATTTTGGCAAGCCGTGGGACACCCATTTGCCCTTGGTTGAGTTCTCATACAACAACAACTATCATACTAGCATCAAGGTTGCGCCGTTTGAAGCCCTCTATGGCTGTAAGTGCAGATCCCCTCTGTGATGGGCTGAGGTGGGTGACACACAGCTAGCTAAAAGTCAAGTCCCTGATAGCAGTCTCACAGGCCCAGAAATCATCCGAGAAACCAAATAAAATATCGTACAAATCAGAGAACGACTAAAAGCTTCAAGAGATAGACAAAAGAGCTACACCGATAAGAGACGAAAACCCTTAGAGTTCCAAGTTGGTGACTGCGTTCTGTTGAAGGTCTCACCCTAGAAAGGCATGATACGCTTTGGAAAGCGTGGAAAGCTAAATTCGAGATACATAGGACCATTCAATATTCTTGCTAGGATCGGTCCCGTAGCATACAAATTTCGTTTACCCCAAGAACTTAGCAACATTCATCCAGTCTTCCACGTGTCAAACCTTAAAAAGTGTCTATCCGGCGAAACCATTGTGATCCCTCTTGACGAAATCGAGATCAATGAGAACCTTAATTTCGTGGAAGAACCAGTCGAAATCATGGATCGAGAAATCAAAAGAACGAAACAAAGTCGCATACCGATAGTCAAGGTCCGCTGGAATGCCAAGCGGGGACCTGAATTCACTTGGGAATGCGAAGATCAGATGAAATAGAAATACCCGCATCTTTTTCTGAGTCCATGAATTGTATTCTATGTTTGAATTTCGGGACGAAATTCCCTCTATCGGGGGGATGATGTGACAACCCGAACATTCTTCCGTTAACGATAGCTGATTTTCGTTAAATAAATTTTGAATTTTATTTAGTTCCATCAAGTTCCTATGGTTTGGAAAGTCATTTAATTTATATAATTGAATTTTATATATGAGTCGGAACCAAAAAATCGCACAAGAACCCGAGTTTCCCTCGAAAATCAACAGAAATCGGCTTGACTGGTGTTTACGGCCGTGAACGCGATCACGACCGTAAAACCATTCTCAGTAGGTGGACCCCACCACCGACCATGAAAACTCCTTATATATGTGAGCTCCTACCTCTCATTTACACTTTTCTTGCCGAAAACTCACCCATTCTCTCTTTAACCTCTCAACCGCAAACACCAAAATACCCTCTTTTCTTCCGAAAATCATCAAGAATGACCTTTGGGCGTTGTTGTGGAACATCTAAAACGTGTTTTTCATCGAATCCAGCAGTGTTGTTCTTGAGTTCACGACCGTACACCCTTCAAATCTTCAAACCTTCAAGGGCTGCAATCCGTTCACGGCCGTGAACCCTTCAAACATTCATATTTCATTCAAGAACACCGTTCACGCCCGTAAACCCTTCAAAGGGCTGTTCACGGCCGAGAACAGTTCACAACCGTAATCCCCTTCACGGCCGCAAACCTTTCCAAGTCATGAACTTGGCTGAAAACCCGCTTTTTCCGATTCAATCGAGTCCCGGTAACATTCCTAAACCAAAAGCAAGTGTTTTTCCAACACTATAAATATGGTTTCGCTAATAAAATGCATATATATATTTAATTGATATTAGGATTCCGTTAAGTGCCGTGTACATCAACCCGAGGGTCTTCACTTCCAGTTTCGTTGTCCGACATTTCACGCATCCAACAGTGAGTTCATACTCCTATGCTTTTACTGTTTTTAATATTTTCAGGGGGAGAGTACAAGTCAAACACAAATGATTTTTGTGAATTTATACAAAAAGGATTCCAACACGATTAAAACTGATGCAGTTGATACATCCATACATTTTATAAAATATTTAGATATTTTATCCCTTTTGTATTATGCTGAGCATAATGGAAGTTTTCAAATTACCGCTAAATTGCATATTTTTCAGATCAATTCATGAATCAAATACATAATATTCATGCAAACTATAATAGGTATAGTTTGGGGTTTTCGATATACAGTTTCACAAATTCAGAGCTTATACATTGTTAAACATATGAAATATGACAGATTAAGTTTATGAAATTCTCGTGTAACAAGAATACTTTACTAAATAATTATTTAAGTATAATTATTACTCTGTAAAGTATACCGACGGATTTAAATACAATAGAACAATACATAACTATATGTAAACTAGTTAATACATGATTGTGAGACAACTCTTCAAAATGTACCTTTCGGGGTACAGGTTAAATCCTATCTTTTAGTGTAACTAGAGTCTCCTGGAGGGAGATCGTGAGATTTGTGAATAGATCTATTCGGGATTGACAATCCCACACCTAAACTGCTAGCTACAGTTAGGCAGGCATGCCTGGGGTGACAAATATCATACCGTCCGACGCCTGAAGAACGTCGTAGAGGTCATCAATCATATCAAGCATGGTTATACGACTCACAATAGTATAAACTAACTTATCGTTTATGGGATTTCATTCTTCATTAGTTTTATTTTAATTAATAGAACATTCTATTCATACTGGTGATAGCCAGGGTATTCATACAAAAAGGGGTTTTACATTCAAAACAGTATTATACAACTTAACTAGTGGTGAGCAGGCATTCAAACTAATACTTTATGGAACACAGTAACAAACTTATATGTTAGAAAATATTGGATTTTCTTGGAAGCATACAAACATTTTTCACGGATTCATTAACAGGTTTTCATTACCAAACATGCTTATGAACTCTCCAGCTTTAATGCTGATACTCTTTTCAAAACCGCTTGTATTCTCAGGAAATCAGTAGACAAGTACCCCAGTAGGCTTTTGAGAAGACGGAGCGTATAGAGTCACGTCTTTATATTTTGTTATACTTTTGATGTATATGAATATGAATCAGACAAATGTAAAAACCTTTTATATAATCAATGTAATGGTTGTGTTTACTTTGATTACTATGATGCAATTGTTGTGATACTACATATGACGTCCTCCACCCCCGAACGTTTCCGCCGTTCCGGTTTGGGGGTGTGAAAAATACAGTTGTATTTCACTTTTTATTTAATTAATTTCATTTTTAAATATATGCAAGTATGATACGTTTAGACACTTCAGGAAATAAAAGGAATTAACAGATGAAATATATGCAAAGAACAATAAGAACCATCAGTTTTTATTTAATTATCTTCATATTTATATTCTTTTCCCCCATTCACACGTTCAAGGAACACACCGATCCATTTGACTTTTACAAAATAGTTATCAGTTACTGATTATGAAGTAAAACACAGTTTGAGTGAAACTTGTATTAGCATTAATCAGAAAACAAAAATAAATGTGTAAATAATCAAGTTAAGTTATATTATTACATTGTTAAATCCAACAATATATAACGTATAATACATCATGCTGTGATTATGCTGTTTTTTTGTAATCCTATCGCCTTGCTAAATTTTAGGTTACAACAAATCTTATTATTCTAAGAAAAAAGGATTAATGTCACGATAGATACAATTCAAAGTGTATACATTCCTTTGTGGAAAAAGTTGACACCGTGAAAGACACTCTTTGTGGAAAAAATATGACATTGAGAAAATTTCCTTTTGGGAGTAGGTGAAAAAGAAAACAAGAGAAAAAGGTAGCTAAGTATAAATTAGGACATGCAATCCATTCCATTTTTATTGAAAGCAACATGGCAAAGCAAATAATGTCTTCTTCAAACTTGTTATTTTTCTCTCTAACTCTATTAATCATCACACTCTCCCCCATACCAATTTTCGCTTCTGCTTCTTTGGAGGAAGCCAATGCTCTTCTTAAATGGAAAGCAAGCCTTGAAATACCAAAAAATTCTTTGCTCTCTTCATGGATTCCCCTCCCTTTGAATTCCAGCGCATCAGCTCCATGCACTTCTTGGTTTGGAGTAGTTTGCAATGCTGATGGGAGCATTCAGAAGTTGAACCTCACATCATCTGGATTAAAGGGTACGCTTCATAGATTTTCATTCTCTTTGCTACACAATCTTACACGTTTTAATCTTAGTATAAACAACTTCTTTGGCCCCATCCCACCTGAAATAAGACACTTGTCCAAACTTGTATATCTTGATTTTTCATTCAATAAGTTTTCTGGAGTAATCCCACCTGAAATAGGAAACCTGCACCAGCTAAACATCTTGCACCTATACTCAACCAATATATCTTGCTCAATTCCTTCTTCATTGGGCGATTTGACACTTTTGAATATCCTTTATTTGTACAAAAATCAACTCTCTGGTTCCATTCCTACAGAACTTGCAAATTTGAAGTCTCTCACTCATCTTGAGGTGGCCTACAATCAACTTAGCGGTTCAATACCTTCATCACTGGGTGATTTGACATCTTTGAATGTCCTTTATTGGTACAAAAATCAACTCCCTGGTCCCATTCCTAACGAACTTGGGAATTTGAAGTCTCATTAATCTTGATGTAAGTGAAAACCAACTCAGTGGTTCTATTCCTTCATCATCAGGTGATTTGGCGTCTTTGAATGTCCTTTATTTATGGAAAAATCAACTCTCTGGTCCCATTCCTATTGAACTTGGGAATTTGAAATCTCTCACTAATCTTGATGTAAGTGACAATAAACTTAGTGGTTCTATTCCTTCGTCATTGGGTAATTTGACATCTTTGAATTTCCTTTATTTCGCCCAAAATCAACTCTCTGGCCCATTCCTATTGAACTTGGGAATTTGACGTCTCTCATTAATCTTCATGTAAGTGAAAACCAACTCAGTGGTTCTATTCCTTCATCATTGGGTGATTTGAAATCTTTAAATGTCCTTTATTTGTTCATAAATCAACTCTCTGGCCCCATTCCTATTGAACTTGGGAATTTGAAGTTTCTCACTGATCTTGAGGTGGCCGACAATCAACTTAGTGGTCCTATTCCTTCATCACTAGACAAACCTCAGCAACATACAATGACTGACCCTCGGTGGTAATAAATTATCCGGTTCCATTCCTAGTGAACTTGGGAAGTTGAAGTCTCTCACTCTTCTTTCGGTGGTCAGAAATCATCTTAGTAGTTTTATTCCTTCATCATTTGGTGATTTGACATCGTTAAATCTCCTTTATATGCATTACAATGACCTTGCTGGTCCCATTCCCAGTGAACTTGGGAAGGTGAAGTCTATCACTGATTTTAAGGTGAATAACAATCCAATTAGTGGTTCTATTCCACTGGATTTTGGAAATTCAACTCAACTACAAAGACTTGACCTCTCTTCGAATCATTTGGTTGGTGAGATCCCAAGGGAGTTTGGGAAAATGAAAAGTATGTTGGAGTTTTCCTTGGCTGGCAACCAACTTTCAGGTGTTATACCTCTAGATTGGATTATGTGAACTTCTTGAAGTACTTGATCTATCCAAAAATAGATTAAATGGGTCGATTCCTACAACTATTGGTCAATGGGCACAAATCCACTACTTAAATCTTAATAATAACAAGCTCAATGAGAAAATTCCATCTGAGATTGGTAAATTAGTTCATCTTACGGAACTTGATTTATCTCAGAATTCCCTCACGAAAGAGATATCATCTGAAGTTCAAAGTTTGCAAAGTTTGATAAAATTGGATCTTTATCACAATAGACCCTCTGGTTCTATTTCTGATGCTTTTACGCATTTGCCTCGTAGGATTGAGATCAACCTTTCTTACAATGAGCTCTCAGGCCCGGTCCCCCTTTGGGTTAACTTTGTGAATGTGTCCATAGAAAGCAATCCAGATTTGTGTGGGAATGCTACATGAGTGAAACTTTGTCCAAGTCAGATTATGAAGAAGAAAAATGGTTCCTTTCATCATAAACTCATCCTTGTAATAATGGTCCCTATATTCGGGGTTGTTTTACTTGGTGTATTCACGTATTGCCTTACTTCTTATCAACAACAAAAGAAAAAGTCTCCACAAAAACCATTGGACGAAGAAAGTGCTGATTATTTCTCTATTACAAGTTTTGATGGAAAAGTAGTGTATGCTGACATCTTGAAGGCAACAAATGATTTCGATGAAGCATACTGCATTGGAACCGGAGAATATGGTATCGTTTACAAAGCCGAGCTGCAACCTAATAATGTGGTAGCTGTCAAGAAACTTCACTCATCATCTGAGAATGTTGACCATAATGGATTCCTTAATGAGGTACGAGCATTAACGAACATAACGCATCGAAACATAGTGAAACTCTATGGATTTTTCTCCCAGGTCCGCCACTCATTTTTGATTTATGCATACCTTGAAAATGGAAGCCTTGGATCAATCTTGAGAAGTGATGTCTTAGCAAAAGAATTGGATTGGTTAAAAAGGGTAAATATTGTAAATGGTGTAGCTAATGGTTTGGCTTATATGCATCACGACTGCTCACCGCGTATAATTCATAGAGACATATCCATAGCCAACATCCTTCTTGATTCTGATTATGAGGCACATATTTCTGATTTTGGCACATCCAAGCTTTTAAAGCTAGACTCTTCCAACTGGACCACAATTACAGGCACCTATGGCTATATTGCGCCAGGTAACTCAACCTTGTGAGCTTAGTTCTACATCTTCTTAAGTTTTATGATATATAGAAATAAGTATATATATATATATATGTATCTATGTTAGAATCTTGTGGGACTGATATAGTTCTTTTTGTTTTTATCTCATGTTTGTTTGAATGTAGAGCTTGCTTATACAATGGTGGCTACTGAGAAATGCGATGTGTATAGCTTTGGAGTTGTTGCACTAGAAGTGGTCATGGGAAAGCATCCTGGAGAACTCGTAACTTCTTTACCAACAGTGTCGGATGATTATTTGGTGACAGAAAATGTGGGAGATAGTCGGATACCATCTCCCTCATCCCAAGTTGAGAAACAAGTTAAGTTGGTTTTGAGTCTCTCAAGAGCATGTTTGAACTCCAATCCGCATGAAAGACCAACAATGCAACAAGTTTCAAATCGGTTAATGAAGGATCTGCTTTGAGTAGACATCTCTTGCCTGATCAATATATTGTACTTTCAATGTTCTTTTTACTTTTCTTAAGTTCCCTATATGCATCTTGTCAATATGTATTCATTTGAATAGCTTTGTTAAGAAACTTCACATATGTTTGTTGTAGTATACATACTTTTTATATTTGTTTCATTTTATATTTATATGTTATTTGCATGTTTTAAAACGAACAATTGGACTTCATATTTTAAAAAAAAAATACATATGTGAATATTACCTAGTTAATATGATTTATGGGGTATAACTGGGGTCGACATCATGTTATATACCCCGTACCCTATCTAAGTCATTCAAATATACAAAATATATTTCTATTTTAGATTATATGATGAGCAATTATACCAAATGGTGAGAGATGTCAACGGAACATTTTAACTATTAAGAAAAAATTTCAAATGCTTTTGATCTATTGAATTCCAAATTTGGCAGCCTAAAACATTTACACAAAATAGATCAACTTAAACATACATGATTTCACTTTGTAATATTACTAGAATAAGAGTTCATGTGGATGAGTTTGGTATAACATGGATTTAACATTAATTTCAGTTTTTTACTTATTTATGTCTTATATCCCCTTCATTTCATTTCAACATGATATGGCATGACATGGACGTAATGTTAAATAATTTTATGTATCACAAACAAAGTCAAGCTTTGACCACCTAAGTACCTCAAAAATGTAACATCCATCTTCTATCTGAAGACATCATGTCACCTCCCACTATGATACAAAATATGAAGGGAAGAAAAAGTTGAGTGTAAATCTTAGCAACTGGAACCACACATATAAATGCAATCTCATGTTTGCATGATCTTGTTTCCGAGTTCACAAGTATGGATTATACAACTACCAATATTTGTATTCAAACTCATTAATGCTAGTATAAAAAAGCTTCTCCATCTGAATCTCCCTTCTATGTCTATTAGGAGCACGAAAATGAGATGACACCGATAATTTCTTTCATGGATACTCAATAGATCATGGAAGAAATTGCAATCTGCAAACTGGAAACAAATAAAACAAGGGCACTCTACATATATATTGATGGGAATCAAATTTTTCCAAAAACATGATATTTAATGTTAAGCAAGTTTTCCCAAAGACACCATAAAAACATTAACTAGCTACATATATTAGTAAAACACTCGCCTCTTTTGGTCATTTTGTTTTGTCATTGTTCTATCTAGTCTTTAAAAAAGAAGATAAATTATGTATCTTGCTTTTACTTTTTTGGCAAATTTTTCCGTCATAAAGTATTCGGTTTATGCGGTTACATTATGTATTTTCAATAATCTGTTTGGTGTATAATTTAAAAAAATAATAACAAAACCAATTTGGAATACAAACATAGATATGCCTAACTATTTAATCGAAGTCATATTGCACTTTTTAGTCCAACAAAAAATATATCGTGAATTCTGTCACTAATATGTAAGGATAAGGACCCTAAGAGAAAGAATTAATCACGAAATTTGATGTGCAGATGAACTCTAAAGACTTTTGTAAGCTAATCGGTTGTGGAAATATGAGAAACAAACAATAATACAGTCGCCACTTTCTATTTAATTATCTTATTTTTTAAGTCTAGGCAAGTATGAGAAGTTTTAAACACATCAGGAGATAAAAGGAATTAATTAACAGATGTAATTGATGCAAGGAACAATACAACCATTAGTTTATATTTAATTATATTCAAATTCATATTCTTTTCCCCCATCCACACGTTTCAAGGAACACAGCATGTCCATTTGTTTTTTAGATTCTTATAAAGGACCCGTATGTCCCTATCTCCATTTGACCCATTGAATATAAAAATAAATATGTTTAAATAATGAAGTTACGTTATAATATTACATTGTTAAATCCAAAAATAACATATAATACCGCATGTTGCCTTTCTGTAATGCTACCGCCTAGCTAATTTCAGGTTACAACGAATTTTATTTTATAAAGAGAAAAGGATTAATGTCAAGAAAGAGAGATACAATTCAATGTCTAATACACTCCTTTGTGGAAGATTTTGACACCGTACATGACACTCCTTGTGGAAAATTATGACATTGCCCAATTTTCCTTTTGGGAGTAGGTGAAAAAGAAAACAAGAGAAAAAGGTAGGTCAAGTATAAATTAGGACATGCAAACCATTCATTTTTAAAAAAAAAAAAAAGCAACATGGCAAAGCAAATAATGTCTTCTTCAAACTTGTTATTTTTCTCTCTGGCTCTACTACTCATCATACTCTCCCCCATACCAAATTTCGCTTCTGCTTCTTTGGAGGAAGCCAATGCTCTTCTTAAATGGAAAGCAAGCCTTGAAATCCCAAAAAACTCCTTGCTCTCTTCATGGATTCCCCTCCCTTTGAATTCCAGTGCATCAGTTCCATGCACTTCTTGGTTTGGAGTAGTTTGCAATGCTGATGGGGGCATTCAGAAGTTGAATCTCACATCATCTGGATTAAAGGGTACGCTTCATCGATTTTCGTTCTCTTTGCTACGCAATCTTACGCATTTTGATCTCAATCTAAACCACTTCTTTGGCCCCATCCCACCAGCAATAAGACACCTATCCAAACTTATCCATCTTGATTTTTCCCAGAATAAGTTTTCAGGAGTAATCCCACCTGAAATAGGAAACCTGGACCAGCTAACCATCTTATACCTATATTCCAACAATATATCTGGCTCAATTCCTTCATCATTAGGCAATTTGAAGTATCTCAGTGAACTCTCCATCAGCTACAATCAACTTAGTGGATCTATTCCTTTATCTCTAGCAAAGCTGAGTAACCTACAGATTCTATACCTAGGTGTGAATAGATTATCTGGTCCCATTCCTATTGAACTTGGGAATTTGAAGTCTCTCACTGATCTTGAGGTGAGCGACAACAAACTTAATGGTTCTATTCCTTCATCACTAGCAAACCTCAGCAACATACAATGGCTGAACCTCGGTGGTAATAAATTATCTGGTCCCATTCCTAGTGAACTTGGGAAGTTGAAGTCTCTCACTCTTCTTTCGGTGAGCCGAAATCAACTTAGTGGTTTTATTCCTTCATCATTTGGTGATTTGGCATCTTTAAATCTCCTTTATATGTATGACAATGAGCTTGCTGGTCCCATTCCGACTGAACTTGGGAAGTTGAAGTCTCTCAATGATTTTAAGGTGAACAACAATCAGATTAGTGGTTCTCTTCCTCCAGAGTTTGGAAATTTAACTCAACTACAAAGACTTAATATGTCTTCGAATCATTTGGTTGGTGAGATCCCAAAGGAGTTTGGGAAGATGAAAAGTATGTTGTATTTGTATATGGCTGGCAACCAACTTTCAGGTGTTATACCTCTAGAGCTTGGATTTTGTGAACTCTTTGAAGTACTCGATCTATCCAAAAATAGATTGAATGGATCTATTCCAAAAAGTATTGGTAAATGGGCACATATCCACTACTTGAACTTTAGTAATAACAAGCTCAGTGAGAAAATTCCATCTGAGATTGGTAAATTAGTTCAGCTTACGGAACTTGATTTATCTCAGAATTTTCTCACTAAAGAGATACCATCTGAAGTTCAAAGTTTGCAAAGTTTGCAAAAATTGGATCTTTCTCACAATAGACTATCTGGTTCTATTCCTGATGCTTTTACAAATTTTCCTCGTGGGATTGATATCAACCTTTCTTACAATGAGCTCTCAGGTCCAGTCCCCAATTGGGCTAACTTTGTGAATGCGTCCATAGAAAGCAATTCAGATTTGTGTGGGAATGTTACCGGAGTGAAACTTTGTCCAAGTCAGATTATGAAGAAGAAAAATGGTTCCTTTCATCATAAACTCATCCTTGTAATAATGCTCCCTATATTCGGGGTTGTTTTACTTGGTGTATTCACGTATTGCCTTACTTCTTATCAACAACAAAAGAAAAAGTCTCCACAAAAACCATTGGACGAAGAAAGTGGTGATTATTTCTCTATTACAAGTTTTGATGGAAAAGTAGTGTATGTTGATATCTTGAAGGCAACAAATGGTTTTGATGAAGCATACTGCATTGGGACAGGAGGGTATGGTGTTGTTTACAAGGCCGAGCTACAACCTAACAATGTGGTAGCTGTCAAGAAACTTCACCCATCATCTGAGAATGTTGATCATAATGGATTCCTTAATGAGGTACGAGCATTAACGAACATAAGGCATCGAAACATAGTGAAACTCTATGGATATTGCTCCCATGTTTGCCACTCATTTTTGATTTATGAATACCTTGAAAAGGGAAGCCTTGGATCAATCTTAAGAAGCGATGTCTTGGCAAAAGAATTGGATTGGTTGAAAAGAGTAAATATTGTAAAGGGCATAGCTAATGGTTTGGCTTATATGCATAACGACTGCTCACCTCCTATAATTCATAGAGACGTATCCATAGCCAATATCCTTCTTGACTCTGATTATGAAGCACATATTTCTGATTTTGGCACGTCCAAGCTTTTAAAGCTCGATTCATCCAACTGGACCGCAATTGCAGGCACCTATGGTTATATCGCACCAGGTAACACAATATTGTGATTGTAGTTCTACTTCTTCTTAAGTTTCATGATATATATAAATAAGTATATGTACACATATGTATCTATGTTAGAATCTTGTGGGTTGATATAGCTCTTTTTGTTTTTATCTCATGTTTGTTTGAATGTAGAGCTTGCTTATACAATGGTGGCTACTGAGAAATGCGATGTGTATAGCTTTGGAGTTGTTGCACTAGAAGTGATAATTGGAAAGCATCCTGGAGATCTCATAACATCTTTACCAACATTGTCTGATGATTATTTGGTGGCAGCAAATGTGGGAGATAGTCGGATACCTCCTCCCTCATCCCAAGTTGAGAAACAAGTTAAGTTGGTTTTGAGTCTCTCAAGAGCATGTTTGAACTCCAATCCACATGAAAGACCAACAATACAACAAGTTTCAAATCAGTTAATGAAGGATCTGCTTTGAGTAGACATCTCTTGCCTGATCAATATATTGTACTTTCAGTGTTCTTTTTACTTTTCTTAAGTTCCCTATATGCATCTTGTCAATATGTATTCATTTGAATAGCTTTTTGTTAAGAAACTTCACATATGTTTGTTGTAGTATACAAATAAGTCAATGAAGATTGCCATACATACATCCCTCAAACAAGACATACTTTTTATATTTGTTTCATTTTATATTTATTTGTTATTTGCATGTTTTAAAATGAATAATCCGACTTCATTTTTTTTTTAAAATACATCTGTGAATATTACCTAGTTCATATGATTAATGGGGTATAATTTGTGATGCAGTATGTCAAGCATAAGTCTCAGATGTAATCTTATTTTCCTACAGAAATTGCATGTGCTCCTACAAATTATTGCAAAGAACAGATTCAAAATCATTAATGCTAGTATAAAAAAGCTTCTTCATCTGAATCTCCCTTCCATGTGTATTAGGAGCACCAAAATGAAATTACACCGGTAGTTTCTTTCATGGATACTCAATAGATCATGGAAGAAATTGCAAACTGCAATCTGGAAACAAATAAAACAAGGGCTCTCTCTACATATATATATATATATATATATATATATATATATATATATATATATATATATATATATATATATATATATATATATATATATATATATATAGAAGTAAGTTCAAATAAAAACAGTAAAGAGTGTGAGAACGTAAAAACACTATGTTTATGTTATTATTCTGTAATGAATTTTGTATATGTGTATTGTTGAAGTAATTCTAATATAAATATTAACTTTCGATTAGTCATATATTCATTACAATGTTATTATTCTATTATAAACATATGTATGTGCATTTTTGTACTAAATTCTAATTTTAATTTTAACCTTTGACTATTCATTTATTCTTTGCTAAATAATGACATAAAGTTGTCGATACAAAATTCATTGCAGAATAATAACATAAAAAAGTGTTTTTACGTTCTCACACTATTTACTGTTTTTATTTGAACTGTCCTCTATATATATATATATATATATATATATATATATATATATATATATATATATATATATATATATATTGATGGGAATCAAATTTTTCCAAAAACATGATATTTAATATATGTTAAGCAAGTTTTCCCGAAGACACCATAAAAACATTAACTAGCTACAAAAATAAGTAAATCTGGTTCACATTTTAAAGTGTATTGTTAGCTAATATATATCAATAGCATTGCTTGGAAACCATTCTTCTCTCATTATGTATTGGGTGTGTACATTTATTTTCTGTAAATATTCTTTGTTTTTAAGTACTCTATAAGGCCTTGTGGTATACATACCACGAATCGATTCGTGGTCTAGTTGGCCACGAGAAAAGCTCGTGCACACCACCCCGACATTCCGTGGTCGGGCGTGGTCGTGATCCTCCGTGTTCCCGACGACGAATTCAAACGAAGAAGGTGATTGGTGGTTGGTTTTTTTGGCCGTTGAACGGCTATTTTGCCTATTTTTTTTTCAAACTCAATTCAATAACATAAATAAACCTTCTATTTTCACCAAAACTTACACCTCATTCTAACCTTCATTCTCTAAAACCACAAAACACATATACATGGATTCCACAAAACATATGGAATTTTTAAAAACTTTTGACTTGGATGACGACGTAGAATTCGTCAAGACATTCTTCAACGTTGTGCAACACATTCACGACGAAGAAAGTTTAAATGCAGCTCATACAAGGGCGGTCGTCAATCGTGATCGCCACGCCGCACACGACTTATTGGTACGTGATTACTTTGTCGATAATTGTCTTTATAATGACGACTCGTTCGAACGTTGTTTCCGTCTGAATAAGGCTATATTTTTACGTATTAGTAATGCTTTAGAATCTCGTTATGATTTTTTCAAACAAAAACCCGACGCTAGAGGAAGAATGGGTTTTAGTAGTATACAAAAATGTGCGGCTGCTCTTAGGTATTTGGGATATGGTATAGCATTTGATGCATCTGACGAATACTTGAAAGTATCCGAGAGGACCGCAATTGAATGTGTAGATTGGTTTTCTGCATGTGTTTATGAGGTTTTTCACGAAGAATATTTGCGCAAACCTACTCAACGTGATATTGAGAGATTATATTCGGCTCATGAAGAGAGGCATGGATTTCCGGGTATGCTTGGCAGTCTAGATTGTACGCATGTGGCTTGGGAAAAATGTCCAACTGCATGGCGTGGTCAGTTCACTCGAGGAGATATAGGTGAACCAACTATCATCCTAGAAACTGTTGCATCTCAAGATTTGTGGATATGACATGCCTTTTTTGGAGTAGCGGGGTCTAACAACGTCCTTAATGTTCTTGGCCAGTCTCCACTTTTCAACGATATTTGGACCGGCAAAGCACCCAATATGACGTTCATGGTGAACGGGCACGTGTACAAATACGGTTACTACCTTGGTGATGGGATATACCCGGATTATTCTACATTGATGAAGGCATACTCGGTTCCTCGAAGTGAAAAGACAAAAATTTTTACAAAAAAACGGGAATCGGCGAGAAAGGATATCGAGAGGGCATTTGGAGTCCTTAAGCAGACATGGCATGTAGTGAAATATGCTACACGACTCTGGGATAAAGAAAGAATTAAACGAATGGTCCTAGCATGTATTATAATGCATAATATGATTATTGAAGATGAAGGTCGAGCGATTTGCACGTATGATCCGAACGACGTTGTCGTTCCAATTGAGGAGTTCGTACCCGGAACAAATGTTTTTTTAGAGCGAGTTGTTGAAATTCATAACAGTGAAACGTGTTTCAATCTTCGAGAAGATGTCGCGGAACATTTGTACCAACGTAGTATGAACGACGATTAGGATTTTTATATGTATGTTTGTTTGTTTTTTTAATTAATGTAATGTTTTTTTTTCTAGATTAACTAAGTAATGTAGTTTGAAGTTGTTATTTTATTTTTATAATTAATGAAAAAATAGTTTAAAAAAATGAATGCTTTTTAATTATAAAAAATGTAATTTTATTGTATTTTTGAATTTAAAAAAATGTAATTTTATTGTAATTTTGAATTAAAAAAAAATAAAAATAATGATGTGGAGTGGTGTGTTAGTGGTAGGTATCCCATATTAGTGGTAATGGAATGTGGTGCTGATGTGGCACCCACCACATATGTGGTATGTGGTGGGTATAACGGATGGTCTAATATCACCACACTACACTATGAACAAACCGCTACCATACAGCTGACGTGGCCTTAAATTCAAAAAAAAAAACATTCAGGCATTTCATCAAACAGTCAATATTCATTAAACTCACATTTTTGCAACGAGTATGTATAAATAATAAATGATCCTAAATGGAGTGTTGGAAGAAGATAGCATAGAAAAATGAGTAAAGACACCAATACATACATTTTAATTTATCCACTTCAACCACTTTGCGACTACTATAGAAATGAAATGGATTCACACTTTTGAATAATCATCGATCTGTTTCAAGTTGATAAATTACCTGCGATTTGGATGGATTCAAATGATTTGGCAGCAATTCAAAATGAATTTGCATGATCTATAAAGGATTCAGATGATTTGGTTGCGGTTTTGTCAATGGTGTAAGCTAGTGTGGAAACCCCCGTCTTCAATGTTGAGAATGTTGTGCACTTCTCCAAACAGGGGTCTGAAAGTAGAATTCTATCCATCAACTGGGTAAATAACAGAGGCACTAGATTCAAACTTGCAATGGAAAACTGGTGCATTGATCCTATTTCTTTCTTACTGCATCCTCAGGGGTGGGGGTGGGGGTGGGGGGTTGGTGCTTAAAATTCATCTTGGCGTCTTGGTGTTGGCGTTTTCACAGCATTTGCAGATTGAATCGGTAACTGTTTTCCATGGAGTTCAATTGGTAACTGTTTTCCATGGAGTTCAATTGGTGTTGGCGTTTTCATAGCTTCCTCCCTTTCGATTCAACTTTTGACTATTTTGCCCCTGGTGTTGATTTGGTGAAATTCAACATTTCTGTGCTGCTACAAAATGTAATAAAAAAATATCCTATTCTTCTATAACATTTAAGAATTTAAATTGGTCTCATTTATATATACTAGATCATACAAGGATAACAAAAGATGAAAACTCGTAACATGTATAAAAACTTCTGAATGCAGCTGGTATAAGGCATGGGAGAAGTTCATATTAATATGGGCAGTTTACTCTTCTTTCTTCACAATCACACCAATGGAATTCGGTTTCTTCAGGGGTTTGCCTTAAAACCTCTATTTCTTGGACATAGCTGGTCAAATCGCTTTCCTCATAGATGTTGTTCTCCATTTCTTTATAGCCTACAGAGACACCCAAACTTACAAAATGATTTCTAACCGCAACTTAATCGCTGTTAGGTTAGCAACTTCTCCTCTACATATCCAAATCAATAAAACATTCTATAAAAATTGTTTAAATTAAAATCCACCTTTTTGTGATTTCAGGTACCTCAAATCTCATTTTCTTTTCGATATACTTGCATGTATGCCTTGGGGTAACATATACAGGGTATGCATTAATACATGATGCAATAATAAAATTATTATTTACAATATGATAAATGATTATTTATTTATATTAGGCTTCCGGAAGAAAAGAAGAAATGAGGTACCTTTTGCTAATTAGATTGGTTCGAGTACGCAAAGTCTTGGAATTCTTTTCAAGATTAGAAAAGGACATTCGTGTCAATTATCTTTTTTCAAGGATTATAAAATTAATTGATATTGAACTCTATTGCACGCATACGGCTGCTTGCATATTCTATTATTTGGCTACGACTCTGCCAGCTGTCGAAGAAGGATACACCTGGATTGGGAGCTTAAAATCAGGCGATTATAGCTACTCAAATTTCAGAGAGATTGATCTTTGGAAACACTACACAACTTCCTTATATTTTGCCATTGTTACTATGGCCACAGTTGGTAAGTACTTCATCAACATAAATAGCAATGTACTTTCATTCATTTGTTTATTATATACAAAAATCAAAAGTACAATGCCATAATGTGTGGATTTGTTTGTTTGTACTTTGTACAGGTTATGGTGAAATCCATGCAGTGAATATGAGAGAAAT